ACACCAGACGTCCATTGATGCTCCCTAACTCCCGGCTGTATAAACATTCACACGACATTATTATTATTATTATTAGTAGTAGTAGTAGTAGTAGTAGTAGTAGTAGTAGTAGTAGTAGTAGTGTTATTATTATTATTATTATTATTATTATTATTATCGTTTAGGGTTTACCAGAAAGATTTCCGAAAGGTCACTTCGGGTTTATGTGTTTTTAAATAAAACTTTGGTTAGAGTCCGCAAAAACTATGTCAATTTCTCCCTAACCAGACAGACCTCTGTCAAAAATGTTTACGTTTAAAGGTCACTTCTGTGAAAAAATAGTAAAAAGAAAAATATATGCGCCATGAAACTGACAATACTGGGAAATTTGCTGCGTTGCCGATGAATGAGTTTTGGACGTCTGACTTGGCCGTTATGGGGAGTGTTCAAACAGTTCGACGGAAACTTGAAACAAATCAAAAATAAAGGTTACGCCTTGCCTAAGGAATGTGAATTTGCATCGCTGGTCTCCAAGCTAAATGGTGTCTCTGGTGATATGTTTGGAACTAAGTTTTTCTTGAAAGACCACAAGGTTGGTCTTCCTCTTTGTGTAGTGGCCAATGAAATTGGTACGTAACAAAAAGTGGCATCTTGTTTCCTTCAGGGTGCATTTTCAGTTTTGGAAGTCAAAAGTCGGTTATCTCTGCGCTGCTGGGACGATGTGATTGCAGAGTTACAATCTTTTCACGGGAGATCTTGACCTGTATTATTATCTTAAGCCTAAGATTTTACTCTATCTCGCTAATCAATTTTTGGAAAACAATCTGGTTAGATTTCCGTCACCGTCGGGAATCGCGCAGTGTCTAAATTTTTCGCAATTTTATAATTATTAAATTATGTATAACTACAGACTACAGTGGTAAAGTACGGTGATCAAAATTCTGATTTAGAAACAAGGTGTATCTACTGGTTCGGGCGTAGCTGTTCTTTAAAAGGTTTACCTGGATTTTTTTTTTTTTTTTTTATCTTCAAATGCGTGTTTTTATACAGATCTTGCCTCCAGGTGTCGTTATCATAAGGTGTTATGTGGACGACATCCTGGTTTGTACAATTGGTCGACCTTTGTAAAGTAGGTTGTTGGATAAAAAAAAGCTGGGTTGGGGACCTGGCCCCCGACTGCCCTCAATCCTGCCGACAATCCCCTCTCGCCTCCACCTCGCTTAAAACTATGGGCACGATAGGGATTCGTCGCCAGGGGGCCGCACCTTAAAGGCACGGAACCTTCGGCAGCGTTCATAGAAAACACTGTCTATGAAGGTGCGCCAGATAATAAAAACAATTTCAGTGGAAAGACCGGAAAACGTTCGCCTACAGTTTTTGGATATTCAGTTTGAAACTCCATCTCGTTTGTGTTGGCAGTACGGCAAAAGAACATCAAAACCTCTTCTGCCCTTTAATAGCTGTCATTCAAAAAGTGTAAAGGCCGGCATTGTCCGGAATCTCGTACGCAGTGTTCTCAAGAAGTCATACGCGCACTCTATTCGGGTATCGCTTCAACGCCTTTTTGATCGTTTAGGTGCAGCTGGCTATCCGTAGGATTATATTTTCCAACAATCATTGTGTCTTGCTTTCTTCAAAAAAGAGGTGCCAGAAGAAGGGTGCCCAAGCCAACCAAGCAGGTAGCTCTCCCATTTTTCCATCGGATCTCCCCTTCATCTCAAAACAGTTGGCAACCATTAAGGTATCGGAAACAGTGTTTACAAAATAGGAACTTTTAGGAAACTGTTGCCGCGTTGCGCGTAACGCACTATGAAGCCCTTGAAGACTGCTTTTAAAACGCACGAGGTTTGCTAAAACACGGAAACGGTTTGGCTAAAACTCCCTAAAATAAACTAAGTCGCTTGACCCTGTTTGTCTTTTAGACTTTGTGCGTTGTTTCGGTCCTTCGTTTTTCCCCAGTCTCGGGGGTTTGTCTTGAATTGACCCAGAAAGTGATGACGCCACAACATGGCACTCCTCTCCAATCAAACCGTTGCTAGGGCCGTTGTTAGGGGCAAATGCACAGGGCCTCGGCGTGAGGTTAGAAACTGTCTGACAAAAAAGTGAATAATTTTTGTAAGCATTGTGTTTTCTCAATATCTAATCATGAAGACTTCGTCTCAGTACCAGAAGGCGATGACAAAAGCAGGTAATAAAGTTTCGCAACTGGCTTTGCCTTGCTAGCAGACAACACAACGGCTTCAAAAATTCAGAATTTTTTTTTTTTTTTTTTTGGAGGGGGGGGGGGGGGGGGGGGGGAGGGGCTACACGACCGCGTTGAATAAGGTTGGTGACGATCGACGAAACTTCTGTTCTCGGGGTCATCTCTCTGCGGGACTTGGGAAGCAAAGAGTGCCCGTACAGAGCTTTGATCACACCGTGGCTTTGATCGACGCTTGAGGTGCGCGAGCGCCTTCCCGTAGAGCCCGCCTCCGCAATATTCGAGAAGATGAAAACATTGGGAAGCCGAATATGCGCGAAGACGACGACGATGTGAGATGTCTTAAGGTCGAAGTGCAGGCCAACACTTGATTCAAGAATTTCTGACAGCACACTTGCTTCAGTGCACATCTGTGTGACCAAACGAACTGTCCGTAGCAGATATATCATGTCGCAGATGGAAACTGATCGGCAAGCGTAAAACAGAAAATAAAGATTAAGTCCGCCCATCTGTGCCTAAAAACAAAAGAAAGGGTTATTGTCGACGGCGGCAGCGGCGGGCGACGATGCGTCGGCGCGACAGATGGCTGGGAGTCGACAAGGTTGCGATCGGCTCCGTACGTCATCTCGAACATTCGACCTATACCCCGTGTCACCAGTTGTGTGCAGTGCAGGCAAAGGTGACGTTAGCCGAAGAGAGAAATGGCGAACACGAGGGAGGCGGGACGGGAGAGGAGGTCAATGGAGGGCGAGGAGAGAAAGGAAGAGCATGTTGGAGAGGAGAGGAGGTTTCTCCCTCCCTCTTCAGCCCTCCTGGTGCTTGCCCTAGTGACATAAAAAGATAGGTCACGCATTCGCGTACTTAATGCCGCTGCGTAAATGGGTATTCTATTGTATAAACGCTAATATTTAAATGTTTATCAGGGAAAAAAAAGTTACAATGAGAGACTAATTGTCCAAAACAAAGTTTTACAAGAAAAATAAAAAAAAACGCGAGGGAGAAACACGGAAGTCGCATTGCCAGCGACATAAACAAATATGGAAGCGCCCGTAAATGCGTTTTTTCTCGTCGTCCAGGAACATGCTGAGAAGTCTTTAGCGGTATCTCTGACCGTTGAACATGGCTATTTACACAATACATTGCTCCTCCAATTCTTTCTATAGATGTGTCTCCCAGCGTTCCGCGGTTCCGAGACAGTGCTTCGTTAGCGCTGGCGGTCAGCGGTGATACCATAGAGTTATTATAATTATCATAACTCTATGGGTGGTACGAGTCGGCCATGCCGCTGAGCTCCTAGTCACCCGCTAAACGCCGCCTAAACTAAACATACCCCACGACGAAGATTTGTTAGTCGACTTCTTAGTCGCGTAGGGCGACAAGGCCCGGTGAATACCAAGCGTTCACTGAGTGGTGACTATCGCTCGCTACGTCATCATTCTAGTCGATGACGTCGCTAGTCAGTGATTGAACAGGCGCTGTTTTCTCAGTTTGGTGATTTCAAGGCGGGTACGAAACACACACCCATATTACGAGCCTGAAGAACTAAGTTTAAGGTCTCGATCGAAACGCTCATGTTATTTAAAATAATGGACCTTTTCCACATACCGACGGCACCAGGCGGTGGCCGCACGAACTAAAAATCGAGTAAATAAGCTACCCTCGCTACCAATCGATAATGGGAGCTACGCTACCAGTTTCTTCGCTCTCTGGGCTGCGGCGCGTTCCCAACGGTATTTTAAAGAGGGACATCCGTGGCGTCCACCCAAACGTCGTGTTTTTCTTTCCGTCCGCTTTTTTCTTTTGTGTAACACAATTATATATCTGCTGCAATTACGTGTTCTACTCGCTGATCGATCCACAGCCTCCTCCCGAATTTCCTCGATTTTTCGCGCCGACTTCCGCCGCTTGGCATCGGGCGCTCGCGCGTGCGCAGAACGCTTCTCGAAAAAGGTCGATTTCTCTTTGATTACAATGCACGTTAAGTAGAAAATCAGAAAGATGGCCCGACGCTGCTTTGATATCATGTTCCAAACAGATACCGTTCTCACTGTATTTTTATCGGATGTCCATGCGTGTGATGATTTCCGTCAGACAGTACCCCGTATCGCACGCAAATGCAATTTGTTTTTATAAACCTGATTAGTTGTCTTAGGGCCATTACTTCCAAATAAATAGAAAGCTATTCAAACTACAAAACTTGAAAGTATAAAACAGAGAGGACGAGGACGGGAACAGGACATCTTTATGATGTCCTGTGAAAGATGTCCTATGAAAGATGTCCTGTTCCCGTCCTCGTCCTCTCTGTTTTATACTTTCAAGTTTTGTATCTAATAACCAACACGCTCGTTTTCAACTGTAATCTATTCAAACTGTTGCAGATGGCCATTCTGTGTGCGTTCTTTACGCGTTCGTCGTCTGCCAAAGGCATCTTGAGACGTCTCCAGGACCGGAAGTTGCCGTCGCAAATATCTCAAAAACAGCCGATTCTCTCCAAACATCTGCCGTGGTAAGTGTGAAATTTAAGCCTCCTGTCTTTATCATTTTAGGCGTTTAAATTCCACGTCCAATTTTTGAGCGGAATCCAGTCCCATGTATTCATCCATTACAGCGCCCCTAGCAACGGTTTGTTTGCAGCGGTGACGTCCCACTTACGGGGTCATTTGTGTTCAATCATCACCAGCTAGTTTGCGCCCAAAACTTTTTGTTCGTCAAATAGTGTCTGCAGACTGCTTTTTGTATGATGGGTATGGGCAGTGTGAACGCGGCTCCACAGGGAAGACTGTAACAAAAACAAGGAACGGAAAAAGGAACAAGTGCCTACCGTTCGGAGTGGTTCAACTGGCTCAACCCGTTCAGCCTGCGCCGTCGGGACCCGGGTCTGCCGGTGTGTCCGTCGTCGACTCGGCTCCCCAGCTGTCAGGCATCCCTGACAATAGGGCCGTAAACGGAATCCGAGGCGAGCCCAGCTGCGATTATCTCGCTACACGCGCCTCCTGACGACTCTTCCGACCGTTGCTCTTTCATTTTTTCTAAACGATGCATCGCGAGTTATCATCTCTGGGCTGTGACATTATCTGCCTCCAGCGGCCGCCCGCTTGGGAGAGGGAGCCGCACGTTTTTGTCACCGGAACTGCGGGATTGGCAATTAAAAAAACAAAATCAAAATCTTGTCGGTTTCCGGTCTAAACAGCTGCGCCCACGCACGGCACTGGCACCGCGATGGCCCCGGTGGTACCGCAGTCGGCACGACGCATGCGCAGACGTCTTTTACTTTACACGAGTCTGCCGGAGCATATGTGTGTATTTTGCGAGGCCCCTGGGCGCCGCCATATTGCATCCGGTGTGGATAGACCTTCTTGTAATCAAGCCTTGCGAAGGCGTGCCCAAGGTTGACAGACTGGAGCGCCAGCAGAGCATTTTCTGTGTTCATGGCGCGCCCAGACCACATCTTGAAGCGTGGCTGCTTGCAAACGTCGTTATACACCAACTCAGCTACCTGACGTCATACCGCTGGGGTGGCCCTGCTGTAGCCACGGTGCAATATCTGGTTTCAACCCACTCACCGCCTCCCCCCCCCCCCCCCCCCCCCCCCCCCCTGCTGTGGACAAACGCTAATATGTTTTAGAGCATAGCTCTAAAGGCCCGTTCACACTCTTGCGACCTCTTAGAACTGGGTGCCTTGAAACCTCTTACAACGAGAGACACACTGGCGCCATCTATTGGGTAGCAGTGCAAACTTGGCGGTCCGGCATAATTTCTCTTTTCTCTCGCGCATTATCCTTTCTTTCTTGGCTGGAAAACCTTTTGTCAACGTTATAAACGAGCCTTTCTTATAGGTATTACGCACATTTGACCTTGGATATCCCGCAAAACCTTCGCTCTTCTGATATGCACTTCCAGGGTCACCGCATGGATGGCGCCAAAATGCCAGTGTGTTCTCTCGTCTTACGAAATTTTAAGAGGTTTTAATAGATCTCGTCTCTCTCGGTCGTACTCGGTTGCAGGAGTGTGAACGGGCCTTTAGGCGCTTGTTTCCGTGTTGAGCAACGTCGACGTCGGCGTAACCGCGAGCGTTGCATTGGGGAGTTTTAGTAGACCGTGTTTCCCCCTCCGCTAACCCTCTGCTACGAAGAAACCGCCACTGCGCCTGCGCGCCGACGGCCTTGGCTGTAGAGTTCCGGAAATGTTTCCACTAAATTTAGCTGGAAATTTTACCGCTGAAGTTAGCGGGGAAACGTTCCCGCTAAATTTAGCGGAGAAACTTTCCAGCAAAATTTAGCGGGTAAACTTTTTCGCTAAATATGGCCGGAAAATTTTCTCACTAAATTTAGGGGGAAATTTCTGTCAAATTTAGCGGAAAAACTTCCCGACTAAATTTAGGGGGAAAGTTTCCCGCTAAGTTTAGCAGAAAACTTTCCCCGCTAAATCTAGCATAAAGATTTACCCGCTATATTTAGCGGGAAAATTGATGTCACGTGACCTCAGCACCAATTCAGTTTCCCCGCTAAATTTAGCGGGGAAAATGACGTGACGGCTTCGTGTCACGTCACCCATGAACAAATTCAGTGGTAGGCAGGAGGAGAGGAGGAGGGGCGTACCTCCCCTCCGTACCCTCCCCTCTCTACCTCAAGAGCTGCGCTCAAGAAAGTAGGGCGAGAATGTAGGGCGAGGGAAAGCAGGGACGGGGAACAGGAGGCAGACGGAACGCTAGAGAGGGGAGGATATTTCTCGCTCTCCTCTTCAGTGTTCCGTCTGCTTCCTCCTCCCTGGCCGTTCAATTCCCTCGCCCTTCCTTCTCGAGTTGGAATGGACTATACTCTCGCATTAAAGAGATTTGTTAACGTCTTGCATTGTTTTAACACTGTGCTAGGCTTTAAAATAGCCGTTTAGAAACAGCCAGCAATGGGGCCCATCATGTTGTTGTTATTTATTCATTTATTTGAAATACTATTGGTCTTGCACGACACCAAACAGCGGAAGTTACACAACAAAAGAGAACACGCACGAAATGGAGACATCAAATCCTTCTAGTACATTCCAACTTAAAGAAAAGCTGCCTGGCGCTACTGATGCCGATCATTCCAAATGTTTACATGGCACCGCGACATATTTAAATGTCGTCACGCTGACCCTGATATTTACCATATGACACCACATATTTAAATATCAGGGTGTCATATTTACATGAAACCCTGATATTTAAATGTCATTACGCTGACATTGAACAACGGAATCGCGGAATGACATACGTGCCAGGTTTGACCCCGGTATTTCTCGACTCTCCGTTTCCTCCAAGGCACATGTGTCCTTCCTTTCCTCTAGCCTCCTGCACACTATCTCACCTTTTACGTGAGAGCGGGGTCGCTCGCTGGCTTGTGACATTTCAAGCTCGCTCTGATCCCGGCTGCGAGCGCTATTAGCGCAGTTGGTTCAGCGGCGGAATCCCGCGGTTTCGAACCGAGACGCCTTTTTTGGAAAAGCTTGCGGAGTAAGCCGCTCTGGTTGGCGCGTTTTCATGGATGTCACATAGCCTGGTTTAGGGAGATTAAAATAGGACGGAGCGGTAGACGGGCGCGGAGGTAAACGCAACTTAGTAATTCCCGCGCTAGCCTTTAGCCAGGCCAAAAATTTGCTTAGCCGATACGTAAAGTGCGGTCCAAATCAACCTGCAAAACTGGCGAAAACGGGCCCGGACAAATCCGGAAGGGAGGAGTGACGTCAACGAGAACGTGAGCGTGACGTTTTGCAGCTCCCGCTTTGCGGGACAAGGTTGAAAACCTTGAACTTTTTTCCGGCCCCGGACAGCCCCTCGGCCAATCAGGGGAGGCGGTCCACCCCCCCTCGCGCTCCTCAATGAGGGGATAGGGGGGGTGCGTTTGGTCGCTTCTTGGAAACCCTACAAAAAACTACTTGCGTTTGTTGTATTTTCCCCTTCGAAGCCCTTAAAAAAAACCACAAAGGGTGCCTTTTCTCCCTCTCGTGCAGGTGATGTGCGTGTCTTTTTTTTCTTTCCCGCTCACACTAGGGTGCCTCGATAAACGCGCCTCCGTCCAGGGTGGAGAGATCTCCGTCGGCGCCGCCATCTTGGTTCAATCGCGTGCAGATGCGCTATTTCGTGTGGGCTACATCTAGCCTAGAATGCGCTTACGTACGCTTAAGGCGTGCAACTTCCATTACGCGTTGTATTTTTCAACTCAGACGCACGTCTCAGAGAGTCTTTTTACTCATATAAATAAAAAATAAAAGAGCGGACGCGACACGAACATTATGACAAGCGAGCGCACTGGTTTTGGGTTCTCACGTCTGTTGTTTGTTCGTTGTTGTTGTTATTTCTTTTTGCCACACTTTCTTTTTTTTTTTTTTTTTTTTTGTTAAAGCGAGTGCAGCAGTTTACATTGGCAACCCCTATGCGTACTATTCGAGATATAAAGTAGCACATAATGGAAAAATATTATACATTTTAGCGACTTTGCGACGCGTTGTTAAATGGAGCAGCTGTTCTACCATTAGGAGACACTTATTGCAGAGCTCGGTTTGTATACAAAGCACCTGTTCAGTAATTTATTAAATTAAATAGTACGTTTACTAGCACATGAAATGTTACAGGAAAAAGACACAAATACCTCAACACCGTATACAACAAGATTTATTTCTGAAAAAGCGAAAAGCTGCATCTCACTGCAGGTTGGTACCGGCGACCGTTTTGTTACCATAACCATCATCCGACTCCTCCGGCTGACTTGGTCAATGCAAGTAAATGCTCAGGCGCATTACGACAAAACGCTCCAACAACCTGCGCATTAGATGTGGGTGTTCGCTGCTCTCAACAGGATGAACGGGAACAGATTGCTCAATAATTCGTCTTACGGTCTTCATTAAGCTCTTCAAAAGACAAATGCCCTCTTCTTCTGAGAAGGCTTTAAATACTCCCTCACAACAAGAAACCAAGTTGAAGACCTCCAGGCTGACGTAAGTGAGGTGTTTTCCACCTTGAACCTATTTCTTCATAAGCACAAGAACATGCTCCTCGGAAGCCTCTTCTGCAGTGAGCCCTCGTGTGCAGACACGGCACGACTGTACAGCGCAGAGCAGAGGTTTAACCAAAAACCCTGCCAAATGAGCTAGAATGTCGGACTTGGCACTAGAGAGTGGTTCCATTTCCATAATCTTATCATCCCTTGGAAGCTCTTCAACTTCCTGCTGCACTTCTTGGATTTCTGCGGAGAAGGAATCCACCAGGTATGTGCTGTCGTCAATGTTGTAGCCTGAATTTTTGGGGACTTTGATGAACTGACTCACTGTTAAAATTTTGAGTGCATTTTTTACGTCATATGCGTTTGGCTCTGGAGAAATCATCCTGACACCGAAAACAGGTTCTCAGGACAGTCTTGAGCTGTCAGCAAAAAATGTAGCCACACCCTTTTGAAAAAAACACCGTGCAATTACAACACTACAGTTGTCGACATTAGTACCCCTGCCTGGCGTGGCTTCCATTCTTTCTTCACTGAGCTTCAGAGTTGAAATGGCTTCCTCATACTTGCTCTCGTTTGCAAAACTCAAAACAACGACAGGATGGAGAGAAGTCATTAGGGTATACCATTGAAACACCAGTTCGAAAAACCAGGTAGTTGCTTCAGCCTCAACCGGCAGTGTGTTCTGTTGGATAAAATACCGAATAGCCGAGGCACCTTCCCTGAATAGCTGCACCACTATTCCGACTTTCAATTCGTGAAATGGCCATTTGACACATGAGTACTGTTTAATTTTGATGCCACTCGCAGCTGCTCAGTGTCCAACTTAAGCTCCATCTCCATACGCTCTATTGGGACTTCACTGCTTGGTAAATTGAACTTGGAGACTACCTCGCCGCTTAGATGCTCTACATATTTTCGTACAAGGTGCCCTCTCAGATGTTTCGACACATGTTCGGGGTCTGGCATGAAGAATAATGGCTTACCATCATTATAGGGATGCGGCACACGCACAGCGTACGGTCACAGAACTGCGGGAACTGGAGAAGTTTAGGG